AATCTCGCTGATATGTTCATCAAGAGTCTTCATATAGCCAAGTTCAAACTATGTTTGGACTTGATGGGTGTTTCAGATCGCAATTGAGCTTGAATCGCTCGTTGGTGGAGGAAGTATTTTTTTTTAGAATCAACTTTTCTCTAAATGGTGATTGCAAGTTCTTATGGAGTTTTGGAGTTTGATAAGATGTTGGTGTATTATGATCTTAGATGATTGTTGGGCAAGTTGCATTTTTCATTGTCTCTTTTGAAGTCAAGGTGAAGATTATGGAAATATGTCTTGCAAAATCGACAATTTCTACATTATTCAAGGGCTGTTTTTCTTTTTCCGAAAAACAAGGTCTAAAAGTGGACTAACCATGTCTAAAATAAACTATTTTCCTGAAATGCAAATGCTCCATTGTTGAAGGAACAAATTTGCCAAATTTGGCAAACCTTTTATCTTTTGTAGACTCAATTGAAGGCATGAAAAAGAGAGAGAATTTAGGAGAAAAAAATTAGAGACTCTTTTTCTTCCCCTTTTTCAAGCTACACTCTTGAAGGGTTTTTCTCTTTATCGCCAAATCACCAGTATAGCTTACTGTAATTTATTTGATCAAGCTCTATAAACTCTGCAATATTTAGTAGATTGGTTATCGGCTTCCTCCACCCTTGGTTTTTTCCCGATTTAGGGTTTTCATGTAAATCTCTGTGTCTCTATAGTTTACTGTTTGCTTGGTAATTTTCATTGCATGTGGTTGATTGTTGTTTGATTTATTAGTTCTATTCCACTTACACTAGTATTGTTCTGCGATTCGGATTTCTGTGTTATTTGATACATTAGGGATTTTTCGTTTTAGCAAATCCTTACCCTCTTTGTTTACTACATCCCATTCCTAAAAGAACTACCAACACAACTCTCCAACAAATCAAAAATCAAATAAGGTGCTTGAAAAAAAATATAGTAGACTCCTAACTAACCAAATATCTTACAGAATAGTTAAACTTTTTCTGGATCCTTGGATCCACTTGGTCCAACACCATCCTTGTTCACTTTACGAAAACGACAATCTTTCTTGAAGTGACCCGGTTTGTTACAATTCCAACACACCATTTTAGCCTTCTTGTTGGAAGAATTGTCATCCTTTCCTTTAAACTTCCCTTTTCCATTAGACTTCTTTTGATTCTTTGATCCTTCTCCATCCACCATGTTCACAGAAGAGGAACCAACTTGGTTCTTGCCTTTGGGATTATTATCAAGTTCCTAAGTCCTTAAGGACTCTTCAATCCGTAAATGGCTTCCAAGTTAAGTCAAAGTTAATTCCTCTTTGTTATGTTTCAGATTGTGTTTAAAATCCTTCCAGGAAGGGGGCAGTTTGTCAATGATCACAACCACATAAATGGCTTCATCCATTTTCAGATTGTGTTGAGCAAACTGTGCCAAAATCCTTAACATTTCATGGAATTGTTCCATAACAGGCCTAGAGTCAACCATCTTGTAACCCATAAAGTTAATGACAAGAAATTTCTTGCTAGAAGCATCTTCAACCATGTACTTGGATTCAAGAGAATCCCACAGTTCTTTTTCAGATTCGAAATTTTGATAGATATCAAAAAGAGACTCAAGCATACTATTGAGAATATGACCACGACATATGTAATCATCATTTTCCCACTTTGATCTTCTTCTTGTTGCCTCCAAAGGTTCATCTTCAACAGATTCTGGTAAGACTGGCATGGGTGTACTCAGAACATACACCACTTTCAGAGTGGTAAGGAGAAACTTCATCTTCTTCTGCCATCTAGGAAAATCTTGTCCTTCAAACTTGTTCAGTTTGTCAAACTTACTTGTCATTTCCTTCATAGAATCACCACTTGCCATGATCACAGAAATACTTTAATCTTTGTAAGATATTGGGGTATAGAAAGGCGTGGAAATTCTGAGAATTGTGGTTTCACTTTCAGATTAAAGTATTTGGGTGGTACTCCCAATCTTTAATCGGATAAGACTCAAAATTGAGAGCAAGAACAGAAAATATGGCTGTTATGAATTTCGTGATTGTTGTTGTACCAGGAAAAATGATGACCAAAATGATTAAGTAGTTCATTTGTCTGAAAACTGTCAAGCCAGTTTTCTTTGTCCAAAAACTACTCCAACTGTCAAAACCAATAACAGTCAATAACAGGAAAAAACATGACCAAAATCGACCCCAGCTAGGGACTGCCGCCCCTTGGACCCCGCTCCAAGGGGCGCTGCCCTCGGACCCCCGTTCATTTAAGGGATTCGCCCCTAAATGACATTCTACTTTGAATCTTGAATAAACTTAAACAAGTGTGCACTCCGCACCTTCCTTACTTGTTTAATATTCATCAAGATTGAATTTTGGTCAACAAGTCAATCCATTACACTTAAATACACATTGATGATACAAAATCACCAACATATTCTCAAAAGAACTTATAATTTCAACCATTTTTAGTAAATTCTTGATCAGAACTATCATCAACGGTATCTAGACCCTATCCTCAATAACGTCTTCCTCTCCGTCGCTCGAGTCATCACTCTCGTACCCTAAACAAAAATAACTAAAAAATAAGACTTGAAACTTCATTGCGGTTAAACTTCCTACCTGAACTTCATGGCGACTTGAATAACCTCATTTTTTCTGATATCAATACTAACAATTCCGAGTGAAAAATCAAATAAAGACAATTCAAAATGCAGTTAAATATATTGCCACTATGAGTAAAAATAAACCTAAATTTATCCATTTTGTTTAAAAAATATCATGTTATCTCTATTTTACTCTAAATTTTATAGCAACTAAGCAACAAATGTGCCTAAGAAGACTCTTTTAAACACCTCAATCAATATACCCAACAATATCATTACCAATCTCAAAAGTCAAAAACTAGACCCGTAATTTTATACTTTGTAATGTTAACGTTGTGTAAATTGTAGTTTTCAGTGGTCTGATACACATAGGGCATTGCAAAAATGGCTGAATATATAGATATACAACACAAGAACAAGATAGTGGTTTTCGACTTGTAAATGTTTAGAAACCAATTAAAAGGTAACAAATTAAATCAAACGAGATAGAGAAATCGGAGGCTTGCTGACTGTGCTCACAAAGAGCCTATTGAGAATGAAAGCTTTGAAGTTGCTTCAATGCTTCCTGCCATCTTAAATAGGAACCCATAAGCTAATGAAATCCAAAAAAAACCAAAAGTATATGCATAATGTATAGGTGTTTTCGTTCTATGAAAACAAAATCAATCAATCGATAAAATTTATTCTATGGACATGAATATTACCTTGACGAGGAGCAGAGCTTTAGATATCATTGGATCGAGGGATGCTTCTCTTGGTCCACCTGCAACGAGATCGATACCCACAGGCCCAATCCAAATGTATTTTGGTCTTGGGGCGAAAACAAGAAAACATCCCTTATAGACAAAAATTTTCTTAGATAATAATTATGAAGAAAAAAATAACTATAAAAGCATTAATTACATAACAGCTATGATAAAAACAATAACTAGAAAAGCAACAAAATACCTGAAGTGTGATTTGTGAAGCTCATGCAACGACTAGCAAGCAATTTGAATTTATAGAGTACTTATGCAAAAAGAAAAAAAAAAAAAAAAGGACTAGGGAAAAGAATAGGCAAAGACTAAGATGAAAAATATTCTTGTGAATTCTGATCCTTCCATTCATGACTCATGAGTACATAAGTGTTGTCGTCATGGTGGAATCCCTTAGCATACTAGATCTACTGTGAAATCAAATTATATGACAACTTTTTCTACATTCTATTCAGCTCTAATTAGTTGCTCAACTAAAGATGTCATTACTTACTTTGTCATTACTACAAAACCCACTTTTTTCCTTGGCTATAGTTTAAAAGTTTGCAAAGAAAAGCCATGTAATCTACTCTGAATTCGGAAATTACTAATATGTGGCGATCACCCTTTAAACCATTTCAATCCAAGAAGAAAGAAATCAATAATTTCAGTTATCTTGACTTAGAGCGTCATTAGATTTACTATTAAGACATTAACCTATTTGTGATTTCATTTATCTTGATTATATAACGAGTACCAAATACATAACTTTTTGTCATACACAAACAATTTATGCTTTGGAGTTTAGAGGATTATATAATTTGTATATTATATAAACCTCTATAACATAAATTGTTGTGTATGACAAAAACTATTGTGTTCGGATCAGTTCCTGTACAAAAGTATGTTTTTTAAACATTTTAATTTTTAAGTTTTGTTTCAAACATTTGAAATTGCGTTGTTTTATCTTGTGATGTTTGTGCCTTTGTGGTGGTCCATTGTTTGTTTTTTGTTACTTAACATTTAGTATGAATGAATCGAATGAATAACTAATTTATAAAAAGTAATTCTAAGTTATTTTTTTTTGTCCTTGTAGGTTGATCCACAGTAACGTGGATACAGGTTATAAGCCATTAAATTAATTACAGATGCTTTATAATCCATTGTATTTGTAGATCAAATAAATATCATATAGATATATCAAAATCCAACTTTTTATCAAATGTATAATCACTTATCAATTACCATAAAATATTATAATTTCTTTAACATACATACTCGTATTTATAGATATATATTGTAGATATATCAAATCCAAATCATTATCAGAATTGGTCACCACTAATCATTCATATCATAATATATATATCATGGACATAATAGACTGCAACATAAACTTTTTTAGTTTACAAGTGATTGTGACCTTGAAAAGTGGGGTCCAAGTTCCTAATTAATAAACAAAAAATCAGCATTCAAAATGTGACATCCATGACTTGTATCTTGTATGAGTTGAACCCTTATATTACCACATCTTATCAATCAAGACTTATCAAAAGACCCAACACAAAATTGGCCTTCAATTTCAAAGTGGTATCTTTCAACCCTTCAAAGCTTCGGACTACACACATTTCCAAATCCAAACCATCTTCTCAATTCCTACGCTTCAATCAAATCATGCCCATAAAAGAACACACCGAGGAAAATTCCAACGAATTAGTGCTCGTAAAAGTAGCAGCATGGAATTGGTCCGAGCAAACAACAGTATCCGAGATAAATTATACAGGATCATGTGATATTGTTGTTGGGTCTTCTAGATACAAGCAAGAAGCAATGAATGAAGCACATGAAGATCATACAAGGGTGTCAACACGACATATTAACAACCCTCTATTTTCTACTATTTCTGCTAATAGTTCTCTTCTTGATAAGTATGAAATAGAACGGATATCTAAGGATCTTGATCGCTACCTACAGTGTAGTTGTGACAAGTATTATTGTCGAAAATCTGTTGATGGTGTTCATGTTGCTGGTAGTCGGAGAATTGTGCCATTGATGGAGAAGGATTCTAGTGGCACAAAAGCTAAGAGAACAAACACACAAAGGAAATGGTGTCGGCCAATGTATGAATTATGTGGATCGATTAAAGGTGATGTGGTGGAGAATGTATGTTTAGCGACTGAACGACGGAGGCAGGCTAATAAAAAGCATATTCCGATGGCTGGAGATTGGAATTTTCGTCGAAATGCCACTTAGACGTTTTAATATTTTATCTTTAATATCAAAAGTCAAAGTAATAATACATTATACATACATGTATTAGATATAAGAAACCACTTGTATTCATGTATGTAAGTGCTCGAATCTTGTTCTTCATTATTGCTTAGTATACATTTAGGAATTGGTCGATCGATTATATAATTCAAATGCTTGAATATGACTTTTCGGATGTATGTTACATGTTAACATCACCAATAAGAGAGATTATTATAATATTATTTGTTGCTAAGCTGATCAAGTATTCTGTTGTTTTCTTTGGCATCAAATTCATAATAAAATTATTACTTTGGGCGATTTTAAGGCTGAAAACACATCTAAGAGAATTTGATAATTAATAAAAACTATTCATATGCTGAATAGTGAATCATAAAAACTGTAAAGCAAATGAGTTAAATGAAATGAAAATTTCATAAAAAACACTTTTTTTAAGGGGAAAATGTCACTCTAAAGAAAATGTCACATTAGCATAATAAATTTTTAGTATTTGTTTGATTTGATCACTAAACTTATTTTTTTTGCGCAATAAACCATTAAACTTATATGTCACATTAGCATAACAAGTAACCCGGTAACAAAGCTGACGTGTCATTAATAATATGACAGACAAAAAAAATGTGTGACTAAAAGTAGTGTATGGTCATGGGTTAATATATTAAATGTCACTAAAAGTCAATAGTAGTCATGGCAAACGAAAAAACATGTGACTAATAGTAATTTTTGGTAACTATTTAATATATTGTGTCAATAAAAGTCAATAATAGTCATGACAAACGAACAAAACATGTGACTAAAAATAGTTTATGGTCATGGTTTAATATATTACATGTCATGTCACTAAAAGTCAATAATAGTCATGACAAATTAAAAAATATGGGACTAATACTAGTTTATGGTCATGTTTAATATATTACATGTCACTGAAAATCAGCAATAGTCATGAAAACAAAACAACTTGTGAGAGAAAGTAGTTTATGGTAACGGTTATAAAAAATGATTGAAAAAACTATAAAAATTAGTACTCTATGGTGACAGCTTTTATCTATAGTAACGGTTTTTATGGGTTATAAGCACCACAATTAAATGTCACCATAAATTATCTTTAATGATGTGACTTTTCCTTACATATTGAATAAAAAACCGTCATAAACGGACTCTAGTGATGGGTTTTTTTGTGTGGCCAATTGCCGATTTTAGTTGTGTACAAGAAAAAAACTTATATTAAAAATAAAATTAGAAAGATAGTAAAAAAACTTTAAAAAAAAAAAAGAAAAATGATACTTAAAGTAAAAAGATAGAAAAAACATCATAAATGGTCCCTGTGGTTATCCAAAATCTAAAGTTTAGTCCCAGTGATTTAAAAACCTCATAGATGGTCCCTGTGTTTTCAAAACTTTTGACGATTGGTCCTTATTGCTAACTCTGTTAAGTTTGTCCGTTAACTGAAGGGCATTTTCATCTTTTCACTACCACAGGGACCATATATGATGTTTTCTTATATTTAAAAAAAAGAAAAAAAACTAAATATAATTATTTTATATGTAAAAGCTCTCTCTCTCTCTCTCTCTCTCTCTCTCTCTCTCTCTCTTGTGTCAATGCTCCTTTAAACCATAATCAGCATAGTGAAATTTGACCCTCATATCACCATTGTCAAGTAATCGTCCTACCCAAGACCTAGGTTCTGATCTATGGTAAATCAATCTACCCTTCATCGCTCTCCCTGTTTCCGACCATCGATCCAGCCCCTGTTCACCACCTTTCTCCATTTTTTCATCGACTCCAGTTCGCAAAAATCAAAGCTGAAAACCACAGGATAATTCAACCTCAAGACACTTCCAATTCTAATTATATGAGTGTCTATAGTGTAGAAAATGAATATGTTCTTCCTTCCTTTTTTCTGTTTTTGGGTTGGGTAAAAACCCTCAATTTGTTACATCTATAAACGCATGGAGTGAACTCCAGGGAAGATATAATATTTTGGAATCAGAACTTCAATTTCTAATTGGGTAGAATTTAGGGTTTGGCATTTAGAATCGAAGCTCCTAAACTGATGTTGATGTGTTAATGCTACAAGCTATTGCATTTGAAATCCCTAACTATTGAAGAAGGAAGAAGAACTAAAACAAAGGAGCAACCATCGACTATTGCAACTAGGGGGTTGTTCCAACAGCTTCCTTGGCAGTTCCCTTTTTCTGGTTCGACAACACAACACGAAGGGAAAGAAGGGAGTGGGTTTATCGATTCTCTGTCGATCGGAGAAGAAGAAATGAACGAGGGCAGAAAATGGTTCGGAGGTGATTGGGTGGTGTTTCTCGACAATCAAATGTGTGTTTAGCAACTCTGATTAACAAGAGGAAGAAGATGAGAACAAGGGTTGTTGCCCCTATTGATATTGTCGGAATCAGCAACCACTCCGGTGGTTTCTTTGACAGCAATCAAGAAAAAAAAATGAAGAGAGAGAGAGAGAGAGAAATAAAGAGAGAAAGAGAGAGAGGGACTCTATGCATAGTATTTCAATTTTTTTAAAAATAAAAGAAAACATCATAAATGGTCCCTCTGGTAGTGAAATAGCGAAAATATCCTTCAGTTAACAGACAAAACTTAACAGAGTTAGCAATAGGTACCAATCGTCAAAAGTTTTGAAAACACAGGGACCATCTATGCGGTTTTTAAACCACAGGGACTAAACTTCAGATTTTGGGTAACCACAGGGACCATTTATGATGTTTTTTCAAAAAGATAATAAGAAAAACTGGATAATAGAAGTAAAATGAAGAAAAACACTATTTTGGTAAATATTTTTGGAACTATACTAGATTGGTAAATAGTTTATCAATAACCTCATTTTGGTTAAAAACCCGGCTTTTGGTTTATGCATAATTATTTTTTTTTTCATTTTTTTAATTAAAAGACAATCAATACATTGATGGTTATTTAATTAATAATAACATTTTTTATTTTTATATAAAATGGTTCAGGAAGTTTAGTTTATTTTATAAATTTTGGCGATCTTAAACAACTCTTTTTTTTTTGTCTATTTGAGGTATAATTATAAAATATAACTAGACCATTTACACATGTATAATCAATGTCTTAACTAATTGGATTTTGTACTGTATTTCAAGGTTTATTTTACACTAGACGAATTCCCGCGCGTTGCGCAGCGAAAATTAAAAATATATTGTTAAAATATTGAAAATATATATGTTTAAAATGGTTATGTTATTGATATTAACTTTGAGATAATATTT